TGGAAATACAACATACTCCAGACATCATGATGAAATCAAAGGCAGGGCGAAGGGTGTGTTTCAGAGACACAAATGAGTGAGGCAGGAGGCTGGGGTTCTCCTACCAGAGTTGAGATTCTTCCTAGGGTGGGGGAGTTGCTACAAGTAAGGGGCTGAGCAGGCTGCTGGCTTTCCTGGGGTATGGAGGAAAGACACACAGGGAGACAGGAAGCCAAGAAGAAAAGCCACACCCCGTGGATACAGTGGGGGAGGAGGGATGGGAGGAGGGTTAGGGGACAAAACACCAAGACTAAAAAATGTGGCATCAGAAACCAGATGTGTCCATGAGCCTCGCTGCCCGTCATACCTGTGACATGGCAGTTTTCAGCTGGAACAACACTTCTCAGGGGCATCAAGGTTTGTGCTTGAGTAGCCATGGGCCAAAATGACCGGGCCTCTTGTTGAGAAAGGGGACACTGGACATGTGACCATCCAGCACACAGCAGAACTGTACACGTGGGGTACCAGAACCCACCTGAATTAGTCCATAAGAAATGACTACACAGTCTTCAGAAATACTGCACGTTGATAGTTGTGCTGGCTTGGCCCCATGCGTTGATAGAGAACGGCACTATTAGGAGGTGTGGCCTTGTGGGGGGGAAATGTGTCACTCGGCTTCAAAGTTTCAAATGCTCAAGCCAGGCCAGTCTCTCTCTCTCTCTCTCTCTCTCTCTCTCTCTCTCTCTCTCTCTCTCTCTCTCTCTCTCTCTGCTGCCTGTGGACCCAGGTGTAGAACTCTCAACTCCTTCTCCAGCACCATGTCTGCCTGTGAGCCATCATGAGTCTCTGAACTGTAAGTCAGCCCCGATTAGATACTTTCCTTTATAAGAGTTGGCTGTGGTCATGGTGTCCTGTCACAGCAATAGAAACCCTAACTAAGACAGAAGTTAAACAACTCACGTTTAAAGCTAGAAGTGCATAGATTCACAGTTGAATTAAGTACATTTTAAAAGCACCAAGTGTTCAGAACTCATCACTCTCCAATTGTTTCACTCTGCATCTGTTCTGCCCACGGTGGAGTGCCGGGCAGCTATGCCCTGCTCCCCACTCAGATTCACTTGTTGGTGGCTCAGAGCTGACAGCACAGGGATATCTTCACATTGTAAACGTTGCAAATGTTACAAATTAGGGCTGTGTTTATTGCATTGGTTTACAGAGTTAAGACAGTCATGAGAACATGCTTTAAAAGGCTGCTTCAACTTCAAAGTGTGTCACACAATACGGCTGTTACAGTGAATGACACAAAAAAGTATAGTCCTGATTTTTTTTTTTTTTTTTAGTTTGTTTTCAAAAGCTGGCTTTCAGTTCACAGCCTTTACAAACAGCATGGCAGTCCTACTATTTGAAGATATTGAAATCAGTGCAACTACAGAACGGAAGTCGTTTAACCTTCAGGAAGCCCCTTACTGGCTCCTTACAAAGATCAAGATGTTTGCTAATTATGAAATATGAGGGAAATTTGCCTGCTGCTCTCAGGAGAGTTTTGAACCTGACCAAGATGCTAAGAGGTAAATATTCCTTTTGGAGCAAAGAAGGCCATCATCATGGCTGACGGTGGCTTTCCAGAAACTGTGGTGTTAGGAGGTTATCTGCTTTCTTTGGCACGGGGACAGTGGACACAGAGGCTCAGTGGCGAGCAGGCTCCACTAGTATGGCAGCCCCGGAGCTATAACAGACTGAGCACGATGTGGCCCACACTGGGCATGGACTCTCGACTCTAGAGGACTGACATCTGCCCACCTTTTCCACCTGTAACTCACCCACGTTAGCCCGAGACTCAGAAGCGGTCAAATGCCCTGCTGTCAACTAGGCTCAAATCTAGACGAGAGATGCCTGTGTCATTCTCAGATCAGAGAGAGCTGCTACCTCTGTCCGGGAAGGGACTGACAGAGATGCTGGAGCTGACACCAGCTGGCCCAGGCCCAGGACACAGTCAGAAGAAAGAGACATCCTCAGAATTTCTCAGAAGAAAAGCTCAACTGAGACTCAAAGTTGTCTCATCCACTATCACTAGTTGTAGCGATCACTATTACAATGTTATTAGTGATGTTGCTATTTTGTAGTAGCGACAGTGGTGTCTGTTGTGTTAATGTAGTATCGAATTGTAAACAGTTATTGTTACCCTTACTGAACATGCAAGGGGTGTTTAACCAGCCTCTGACAGAGAAGTTCCTTTCTTTTAAAAATGGTTTTATTTATTCTTTAGCAATTTCGTACATGTCTGTAACACACTTTATCCTGTTCACCCCTATTGCCCTCTCTTCCTCACACTCCCTCTGGAGCTCTTCCTCATCCCGACATATCCAGCTCCTACTTTAATGTTGGCTATTTGTGTGTTTATCTATTTTCAGCTGAGAGAGGGTACTACTTTGTTGCCCAAACTGGTCTCAAACTCATGATCTCCAAGAACCCTTCTGCCTCCAGACATGTGTGAACACAAACCTATGTCATTATGTCCAAGTCCAAGAAGCATTTTCTTACTAATAAAATACATGATCTTTATTGTCGAACCAAGTAAGATCCTGCCATGCTTAGTCAGGCTTTCTTTTTGACAACTTCTGCCTCCCCTACTGTGCCCCAGATACTTAAAATTCCAAACCAGTGACCATTTGGTAAGCGAAGGGAGACCATACGATTTATTTGCTGGCTCTTCCACAATTACAGTCCTGTCCTCAATGCTAAAATAAGGTGTCAGGGTCTGGGGGGGTTGCCACAATAAAACTAGGAGGCCAGGTTACCAACTTTATTTTGCCAACTGAGATTTTAAATCACCAGCTCCTGTCAGTGTGTAGCATCTGATAAAACACTCTCACCAACATGTATGTTAGAATAAAGGGTAATCTTTTGAGGAAATCATTTTAGCTTTGTGAAAAGTTTCACGTGGTTCTTATTTCTCCTGTATTGCTACTGACAGGTGACAGGGTCTCACAAACTGGGACCTGATTTGGAAGTATTCTTCTAGGACACTGAGCTAAAGGCTTATGGAGTCATCTGGGGACATGTGGTCTGAGATAATGCCCATGTATTTTCCTAACTATATGGGAAGTAGACCCAAAAGATAGCTGTGGCCTCTTGTCCCGACAAAAGGAATTCTTCGTGTGGTGGGAACAGACCCGTTTGCTTTGTGCTGGGCCTGTGTGTCAGTCAGCCAACCTAAGCTGTGTACTGTTCTGAGGTTTCCCTGGGTGTCAGGGACACTGGAAAAACATTCCCTTTTAGGAGGGAGGAAACTTGCAGAGTAAATCAAGTTTGTTCCATGGAGTGAATGGCCATTTTTCTTGGCCCAAGAAATTCTGTATCTGTTCGTAATTTTCATTCTTGGGTCACAGACCTCTTAGAGCTTGGACTTGCTCCCTGGCTCTGTGAAACAGAGTGCCTGCCCACTCCAGCCCTCCAGATGCAATTCCCAGACTCCTTCAACAGCACAGGTACCCAAGCAGGTACTGAGCAGAAACAGGCACCCGGGCTAGCTTCTGAGAGTAGATATACAATTCTAAAGCCAACATCGCCATGAACAAAAGAGATTTTCCTATCAGCAAATACCCAGCAGGGGGCTGAAGAGATGGCTCAGTGGTTAAGAACACTCATTGTTCTCCCAAAAGTTCCAAGTTCAATTCCCAGCATCCACGTGGCAGTTCACAACTATCTGATGCTCTCTTAGGGGGTGCAGATGTCCATGCAGACAGAGTATCTATATAAATAAATAAATCTTAAAAAAAAAGAGAGAAGAAAATACCCAGCAGAAGAGTTTGATTTATTTTGGCCAAGAAGAGCTTAAAATATATATTAAATACTATGGGCTAAAGAGATGCCACAGCGGTTCAGAGAACATCCTGCTCTCACATAGGACCCAATTTCTGTGAGGTGGCTCACAACTACCCATAACTCAAGCTCAGAAGAAGCCAATTCCTCTGGCCTCTGTGAACAACTGCACTCATGTACACATACCTACACATAGACAACTGCACACACCCCCAACACACATATAATTAAAGATGATAAGGGGCTGGAACGATAGATAGCTTAGCCACTGAGAGCACTGGCTGCTCTTGCAGAGGACCAAGATCAGTTCCCAGAACCCACATGTTGGTTCACAACCATCTGTAACTTCAGCCCTAGGGAATCCAACACCCTCTTCTGCCTCTTCAGGCACAGAACACACACACAGGACACAGGCATTCAGGCAAACACATTACATATAAGATAAAAATAAATAAAATCTCAAAAAAAAGTTAAGAAAACTAAAGCAAATGACCCTCAAGTCATTTTGAATAACTAATATCTCCCCTACAGCTGTTGGTTTGTTTTGTTTTGGGGGACCTGGGGGAGGGGGTTATGTCATCAGACCCTGCTGCCCACCCACAGCCTCTCCATGTTGTTAGTTCTTATGATGCTCTCTTGCCCTGGACCCGCCTCTTGCCCCCAGATTTGACACCAGTGTCTTTTCTAAGCAGGAAACTATAACGGACACCCCAGAGTCCCATGCTAAGCCTCTGTCCAGTGAGCTTTTCCTACATCCTTTGACATGAGCCCGCTCATGCACGGCATACTTTAAATGTCTAAGGAATAGCATCAGCTCCCACAGAAACAGATGAGGAATAAGTTCTAGAAGCGGCTTCAAGAGCCAGCCTCGTGCATGTAAACAAGGGACAGATGAGCGCCTGACACTCCCATTTAGACGCAAGCTTAACCATGTGTTCAGCGATGGCCTAAAGTCTGCTCGCCTTGTAGCTCCCCGACCTGGTGAAGAAGAAAGAGCATGCACCGCGCGCTGTGACGTCACGATGAGACCTTGTCCATCACATGCTCCACTGAGAGACTTATTTCCTAGTCTGTGCTTACCTAGGCCCCTGCCTTCCATAACATTTTGCATCCGAGCTCTGCCCGATCCACCCCCCCCCCACCCACCCACCGTGGCCCAGCCCGATGTGACTGGGGAGGAGGAGATGGTAGAGGCGTACCTTGTACCTGGGTTTGCGTCCCCTCTTCTTTGGGATTGTCACGGCTGGTACAGAGCCAGCGGGAGCAGAGTAAAGGTTATGGGTTGCCATCTGCACCAGTGTGGAGTGAAGTGGAGGCCGGCCACGCTTCCTCCCTGGGACCTTCTGTGTCTGCATCTCTGCTGGTGCCAGTCTTACTGAATGAGGAGGCAAACAGCAAGGGCAGGAGAGGTCCTGGGAATTAGTCCTGAGAGGAAGCAGAGCGAAACAGAAATGTCTGTTTGGTTTAAAGCACTCGGCTGTGTGTGTGCACACCTACCACTTATGCACTCAGAATAGATGCCTGGATTTAGACACACCTGATGTTGTCACCAGCAACTGAATGCTTTCATGCCTTATAAAATAGTATCTTAATAGCTTTTAAATACTATGCATGACATTTCTATATTTATGCTTAATATGAAATAAATCAATGTCATATTTGATATCATTGTATTACATAAACTCATCCATTCCCCAATATTTAACCTTCTTTCTTTGCTTTAATTATAAATTATCTTCTCTTCTTTTTCTCCTCAAAGAAATGTACTTATACAGGTCAATTCCATTAAAGTCATGACATTTCTTAGTCAAAACGTGGACAGGGGTTTGCATACAGAAATGTTCATTTTAACAATATTCAGAACTACAGAATAAAATAGATATAACCCAAATAACAATGCATAGGGGAGTAGCTAATTCATTTACAACCTGAAACTGCCGACTAGTTTAAAGCCTTTAGCAACACATTTTGCCTGGCATGATATTGGGTGAAGGAAGCGTCAGACACATAAATAAGCGTAAAAGTGATCTCAAGTATGAAAAAGTTTATAAGGTAAAATAAACAAAAAGAGGCATGCAAAAAGGTCACCTAGATAAAGGTGGCCCGGCTGCGGGCAACTGTCCACAACACACAGTCGTTTGTACACGGCAGACAAACAGTGTTATCATAAACTGTTCAGGTGGAATTTCATAAATCTTGAAGACCACTGATCAGCCTTGACCGAGAACCGAGGGATTGGAAATGCAGAGGTTAGATGTCCTGGCATGGTCAGGAATATGTTAAGTGGGGCCAGCTGTAGATTTTAACTCAGGGGCAATGTTAGGTAATGAAATCCACTTCTACAGAGTAGTGGCACCTTCCCGAACCTTCCAGTGGAAATTAGAAGCTTTTGCTGACAAGTCTGTAGATGGTGTCAGGATGAGCTTCCCCGTGCCTTGGTGGGGGTAGCAATGCAGGGACTAGATAGGAAAACAATGGAAATTCTTTTGAAACACAATAGGGGAAGGTTTGTTTTTGGAAATACCATATTTTGTGGGTAGACTCTTTTTCCATGTGGGGATTGAACCTATGGCCCTGTGTACACTATGCAAGTACTTTACTAGTGACCCACACTTCCAACCCAATAACTAGAACTTTAAAGTGGAAATATTTTTAATTTGCACACCGTTGAATGTTTCGGGTAGGAAACAAGCTAGACCGCCCTTTCAGTGGACCCAGGTTCAGTTCCCAGCACCTACCTCACGAAGCCCATACATGCCTGTAACTGCTCACACAAACTGCAGGCACCGCACACACAAACATAATCCCTCATCCAGACACGTACATGTACAAGTAAAAATAAGACAATTCACAGCATCAACCGCCTGTTAAAGACATCAGTTTTCTTTGTCCCTGTGTTTTGAGGAAAATATCCCATCTCACTGATTCGGTAGGGAGTATCTTTTTAAATTCTTAGTATATCGTAAGATAATGACACATCTTGTAACTGAATACATCGTAGAGTCCATGAATTGTGATTACTGTATAAGAATTCATAACATAAAAATCTATTTCTGGACTCCTTGGCACAAACAAATAATGTTCACTGGCAGGAAAGGTTGACGGATCAACAAGAACCAGCAAGATCCTGTTAAGGTGAAAGTCATTTTGACCTACCTACCGTATCAAATTTCTGCTTCTTGCTTACAAGTTTAAAGATTGTAGAAACAGAGTGTACTTTGTAGAGTGTATTTCTGCACCTTTCTACTTTGCCTTTCTTTTTAAAGTTTGTTTTACTTTGTTTAGTTTTGGTTTCAGGAGACAAGGTCCTTCTGTGCAGCCCAAGCTGTCCCCAAACTTGTATCCCTTCTGCCTCTGTCTCCTGTACCCTGGCATGACAGTTGTGCTGACAAGCCTAACCTACTTTGCCTTTAGTGTGGAGATTAACACTGTGTGGAGTAGCAGGAGCGTCAAAGGGAAGCAAGAGGAAACGTGTAGTTAGGGATTGAGGAGAAAAAGCCCAGTGCTTGAAAGCCTAACACTGGGGAGGAGAAACATGTGGCTTTCTCCGGCTGGCACTGGCCTGCCAGCCACACCTATCGAACGAGTCCCAGGGACTAAGTCAGACAGCAGCTAAGAAAGAACATGGAGGTTAATTTCTAGCTTCCGTGCTCGTCTGTACACACGCGGGCTCACACATGTGCATGCTCACACACACACACACACACACACACACACACACACACAAGTAAATAAAATGTGATAAATTTAAAAAAGAAAATGAAGTTTAAAATAAAACGAATCAGCAACAAAGTTCCAAATATAAATAAATCTAAAAAGAATCTTTGACATCCAAAAAGTTAAACTGAACTTTCCCTCAATTGCTCAACATAACAAAAGCCTTTCCTAGAAAAAGAAACCTATCTGTTCAACTAATTTCTTTCCCCCTGGCATCCCCCCCTCTTCCTCTTTTTAATGAGGAACAACCATGCCTTAGGCTGCCTCCCACAGAAGCACCAGTCTTAGGCAGTGTGAGAGCCCTGCTGGATGACTAGTCTGATACATGGTCCTAATCGACCAACAGGGAGCCACTGTTGATGGAATGGTGGGTACCTCAGGGAGGGGAGAGAAAGCCCAAGGCAAGAAGTGTCCAAACCCTCAACCTGCCATGCCTGAGTGATTGCTCACTTTGCCTGCTAACCAGGGACAAATTCAAATGTAAGTAACGAGGTTACTAACCTGAACAATAAATGAATTTATTAGAACCTCTAAGTGTCTCCACAGTGTAATTTTAGAGTTTAGGGAATCACTAGTAAATCACATTCACTTTCAATAAGAGGTCCAGAACAATACTAAAGATAAGGAAATGCCTCAGCTTTGGAAAGCAAGTGATAGCAAGACACATGAAATCTCGTTAGGGAGAGAACTATGGAAGACAGACAGTGAAATTTAATCATGCATAAATAAAGGATTGCGGGTATAGGAAAGGCAAATATTGGGACAGGTAATAAAAGACTATCATCCAGAAAGAATCGCTCTGTGTCTTAAGAAAAATAAGAGTAGTTGCGTGTAATGATGCACATCTTTAATCTCAGCACTTGGAAGGCAGAGGCAGGCAAATCTCTGTGAGTTCAAGGACAGCCTGGTCTTCACAGTGGGTTCCGGGGCAGCCAGAGCTACGTAGTGGGACCCTATCTCAAACAAACGAGACATAAAAAGAAAAAGAAAAATAAGAGTGAATACAAATTCTAATGAAAATAAAATACTTAAAAGTATTAAGAAAAAAAAAATCTAAAGAAAGCCCAAAAATATATGGCCAGGGTTATTCTTTGCAAAATTATTTATAATAGAGAGGTACTGAAAACTACCAAAACACCCTCAAAGAGCCTTGATTTGCATCTTCTTTCAAACTCATAAGATGGAATACTTCATGGTTTTAAGCATGTACTCATGTGCATGCATGTGTGTGTGTATGCGCGTGCATGCATGTATGTGAGTGTGTATATGAGTGCGTGTGTGCGCGTGCGTGTGTGTGTGTATGCGCGTGCGTGCATGTATGTGAGTTTGTGTATGAGTGTGCGTGTGTGTGTGTGTGTGTATGTGTGTGTGTGTGTGTGTGTGTGCATGTAAGCAGGCAAATGAAGAGCACCTCTCTATAGTATATGAACAGCTTCATGCAGGAATCTGCAGTACTCTGTAAACAGGCTGGGTCTAAGAAAGAAAAGCCTCAAAGGGCTCCTTGGGAAGAAAGACACTGAAATGTTGCTTTTACTTTCTTTTGTATGCTGTTTTAAATTGTTTGAGCTTTTAAATCAGAGACAAATATATAAATAGAAGAATAAACAATGCAGGGATGAGTTTCATTCTCCGAGTACTCTTTCTGGTATCATTGCTCTTTTAAAATAGCTTTCCTTTTCTTTGTTTTCTAATGACGGTGCATCCTGAACCACTAAACTCCACTGAGCATTGCTCTAATATCCCTTTAAAAAGAAGTTGCTTTGACTGAGGCTGAGAGCAGCTTTAGTCTCCTGGTGCACAAACTATTGAGGACTTAGTCTTAAATGCGGCATCTATATCAGCCCCTTCGAGACCCAGGGAACACTCTAGAAGAAAGGATAGAACGATTCTAAGATAATCAACACCTGGTTTTATTCTAAGCACTCCACAGAGGCAATAGTAATACGCATATATTATTAAATACATAGTATAAGCAGGATATGAAATGCCAAAGCATCAAGGACAGAAGAAATCTGCTAGCAGAGTGGGGGGTGGGGTGCAGAAGAATCAGAACATGATATCAGAGTTAGGACTTTTCTGGGCAGAAGTGCCCAGGCTGGTGATGCAATAGGGTTGGACAGGGATATTTGGGGGTGTAGGAGGGAAAATAGGTAAATCAGACTGGGAGATAGATCCGTGGATTTCTGTTGTTCCTGAAAGCACCAAGGGGCAAGAGGCACAGAATTGCAAGTGTGACTCTTCCATTCTTGAGGATGGCCCAAGAGCTCAGGCATCAGGGGGGATGTCCTCCCCTCCCCCCACCCCCCACCCACCCCTCCCCCACACTAGTCTCGCAACTCCATCGCCCCCTATTGTCTGACTAACAGCAACCTGATCAAGTAAGAATCACACAGCTTCCTCATCGGCCCTTGCACACAAGTGATGTGTGTGCATCCCTGGGGCCAGAGCCTATGTTTCACATATTACCTGCCCCTCGGCATCAGGCTCAGTGTAGTACCTGGCACCTGGCACCTGGCACCTGGCGGTGTGAGGTAGCATTGCTCACCATGGAGTGCAGTCATCTTACCCGGAGTCAGAAGTGTGTATCTACATTTGTACGGTTTGGGTAAAACAAATCTATTTGGATAGAAGTGTGTTCATTATAAAAGAACACTTTGAAGACCAACAAAACCTTGACACTGGGGTGGAGATGCAGCTCAGTGAAAGAA